GTGTGTGTGTGTGTGTGGTTGTTATTGTTGTTGTTTGCTTGTTTGTTTGTTTGTTTGTATGTTTGCTTGTTTGGGAAGGTTTTGTTGATTTTTATGTTGTTTGTTTTGTTAACGTGTTATTGTTGTTGTTGTTGTTTATATTGTTGTTGCTGTTGTTGTTGTTGTTGTTGTTGTTTATTGCTGTTGTTGTTGCTGTTGTTTTTATTGTTTTTATCGTCACTAATTATTGTGTATCATTCATTAAAAAAAACTTTCTATGTATAAAGCAAGGTTTTGTGTTTTGTTACCACATTAAATCGTTAACCAGTTGCTTAAAACATCAGTGCAGTTCGTATCATGCTGGGCTTTGGTGTGGATGATCCTGGTTCAAATCTCCAATGAGACGTTTCTGAACTTGTGTTTTTAGGGAAGGTTTCAATGCTCTTCGTCTGCATGGCCCAGTCCCATCAAAGTTGGATTTAAAAAATTCAGCCGTGCCTCTAACTCTAAGTGTTGAAAAAACAGCAACAACAAAAATAATCAAGTTTTCAAACCGCGTATTGATTATAATGCCATTCATTGCTGAAATACTCATTCACATCGACTGTAATAATTATAAGCGTTCAACCACATGCTTGAATTATACTATCCTAGGTCGGGCACATTGTCGGGGGAGGGGGGACTCAAATAAAGTCTAGCGTACGTGCAACTTTTCCTCTTTGCCCTTCATCGAGTTCCAAATAAAGTCAAATAGGTGGGTGGTTGACGGGTGCACTGGTATGATTTGCCCCCTCTTTCCTCTCAAACATGCATCGTCTTTACCACCCCTCTTTTTTCTCTTTATAATGTTACTCTCTAGTATTAGTATATCTTTAATGTTCGGCTTTTAGGCTTTACTACATATATATGATGACCTGTATGTGTCACAAGCCCTGTAAAACACTTACCAAACAGTCAAATGTGGTGCACTCCATAGTGAACACAAATTACGTCCGAGTGTACAGTCTTGGATATTGTAATACAAGTATATATATA